ATTTGAGACAAAACTATTGATGAAATCGACGGATATACTTTATTTATTAACGTTATTTGAACAAAACTATTGATGAAATCGACGGATATACTTTATTTATTGACGTTATTTGAAACAAAACTATTGATGAAATCGACGGATATACTTTATTTATTGACGTTATTTGAAACAAAACTATTGATGAAATCGACGGATATACTTTATTTATTACGTTATTTGAAACAAAACTATTGATGAAATCGACGGATATACTTTATTTATTACGTTATTTGAAACAAAACTATTGATGAAATCGACGGATATACTTTATTTATTACGTTATTTGAACAAAACTATTGATGAAATCGACGGATATACTTTATTTATTAACGTTATTTGAACAAAACTATTGATGAAATCGACGGATATACTTTATTTATTAACGTTATTTGAAACAAAACTATTGATGAAATCGACGGATATACTTTATTTATTACGTTATTTGAAACAAAACTATTGATGAAATCGACGGATATACTTTATTTATTGACGTTATTTGAACAAAACTATTGATGAAATCGACGGATATACTTTATTTATTGACGTTATTTGAAACAAAACTATTGATGAAATCGACGGATATACTTTATTTATTGACGTTATTTGAAACAAAACTATTGATGAAATCGACGGATATACTTTATTTATTGACGTTATTTGAAACAAACTATTGATGAAATCGACGGATATACTTTATTTATTAACGTTATTTGAACAAAACTATTGATGAAATCGACGGATATACTTTATTTATTACGTTATTTGAAACAAAACTATTGATGAAATCGACGGATATACTTTATTTATTACGTTATTTGAAACAAAACTATTGATGAAATCGACGGATATACTTTATTTATTACGTTATTTGAAACAAAACTATTGATGAAATCGACGGATATACTTTATTTATTACGTTATTTGAAACAAAACTATTGATGAAATCGACGGATATACTTTATTTATTAACGTTATTTGAACAAAACTATTGATGAAATCGACGGATATACTTTATTTATTACGTTATTTGAACAAAACTATTGATGAAATCGACGGATATACTTTATTTATTAACGTTATTTGAACAAAACTATTGATGAAATCGACGGATATACTTTATTTATTAACGTTATTTGAGACAAAACTATTGATGAAATCGACGGATATACTTTATTTATTAACGTTATTTGAAACAAAACTATTGATGAAATCGACGGATATACTTTATTTATTGACGTTATTTGAACAAAAACTATTGATGAAATCGACGGATATACTTTATTTATTGACGTTATTTGAAACAAAACTATTGATGAAATCGACGGATATACTTTATTTATTGACGTTATTTGAAACAAAACTATTGATGAAATCGACGGATATACTTATTTATTGACGTTATTTGAAACAAAACTATTGATGAAATCGACGGATATACTTTATTTATTAACGTTACTATTGATGAAATCGACGGATATACTTTATTTATTACGTTATTTGAACAAAACTATGATGAAATCGACGGATATACTTTATTTATTGACGTTATTTGAGACAAAACTATTGATGAAATCGACGGATATACTTTATTTATTAACGTTATTTGAAACAAAACTATTGATGAAATCGACGGATATACTTTATTTATTGACGTTATTTGAACAAAACTATTGATGAAATCGACGGATATACTTTATTTATTGACGTTATTTGAACAAAACTATTGATGAAATCGACGGATATACTTTATTTATTGACGTTATTTGAACAAAACTATTGATGAAATCGACGGATATACTTTATTTATTAACGTTATTGAAACAAAACTATTGATGAAATCGACGGATATACTTTATTTATTGACGTTATTTGAACAAAACTATTGATGAAATCGACGGATATACTTTATTTATTACGTTATTTGAAACAAAACTATTGATGAAATCGACGGATATACTTTATTAACGTTATTTGAAACAAAACTATTGATGAAATCGACGGATATACTTTATTTATTGACGTTATTTGAAACAAAACTATTGATGAAATCGACGGATATACTTTATTTATTGACGTTATTTGAACAAAACTATTGATGAAATCGACGGATATACTTTATTTATTGACGTTATTTGAACAAAACTATTGATGAAATCGACGGATATACTTTATTTATTGACGTTATTTGAAAAAAACTATTGATGAAATCGACGGATATACTTTATTTATTACGTTATTTGAACAAAACTATTGATGAAATCGACGGATATACTTATTTATTGACGTTATTTGACAAAACTATTGATGAAATCGACGGATATACTTTATTTATTAACGTTATTTAAACTATTGATGAAATCGACGGATATACTTTATTTATTGACGTTATTTGAGACAAAACTATTGATGAAATCGACGGATATACTTTATTTATTAACGTTATTTGAAACAAAACTATTGATGAAATCGACGGATATACTTATTTATTGACGTTATTTGAAACAAAACTATTGATGAAATCGACGGATATACTTTATTTATTGACGTTATTTGAAACAAAACTATTGATGAAATCGACGGATATACTTTATTTATTGACGTTATTTGAAACAAAACTATTGATGAAATCGACGGATATTTTATTTATTGACGTTATTTAAAACTATTGATGAAATCGACGGATATACTTTATTATTGTTATTGATGAAATTATACACGATTGATGAAATCGACGGATATACTTTATTTATTGACGTTATTTGAAACAAAACTATTGATGAAATCGACGGATATACTTTATTTATTGACGTTATTTGAACAAAACTATTGATGAAATCGACGGATATACTTTATTAACGTTATTTACAAAACTATTGATGAAATCGACGGATATACTTTATTTATTGACGTTATTTGAAACAAAACTATTGATGAAATCGACGGATATACTTATTTATTGACGTTATTTGAAACAAAACTATTGATGAAATCGACGGATATACTTTATTTATTGACGTTATTTGAACAAAACTATTGATGAAATCGACGGATATACTTTATTTATTGACGTTATTTGAACTATTGATATACTTTATTTATTGACGTTATTTGAAACAAAACTATTGATGAAATCGACGGATATACTTTATTTAACGTTATTTGAACAAAACTATTGATGAAATCGACGGATATACTTTATTTATTGACGTTATTTGAACAAAACTATTGATGAAATCGACGGATATACTTTATTTATTGACGTTATTTGAAACAAAACTATTGATGAAATCGACGGATATACTTTATTTATTATCGTTATTTGAAACAAAACTATGATGAAATCGACGGATATACTTTATTTATTGACGTTATTTGAAACAAAACTATTGATGAAATCGACGGATATACTTTATTTATTGACGTTATTTGAGACAAAACTATTGATGAAATCGACGGATATACTTTATTTATTGACGTTATTTAACAAAACTATTGATGAAATCGACGATATACTTTATTATTACGTTATTTGAACAAAACTATTGATGAAATCGACGGATATACTTTATTTATTACGACAAAACTATTGATGAAATCGACGGATATACTTATTTATTACGTTATTTGAAACAAAACTATTGATGAAATCGACGGATATACTTTATTTATTGACGTTATTTGAAACAAAACTATTGATGAAATCGACGGATATACTTTATTTATTGACGTTATTTGAACAAAACTATTGATGAAAATCGACGGATATACTTTATTTATTGACGTTATTTGAAACAAAACTATTGATGAAATCGACGGATATACTTTATTTATTTGACGTTATTTGAGACAAAACTATGATGAAATCGACGGATATACTTTATTTATTGACGTTATTTGAACAAAACTATTGATGAAATCGACGGATATACTTTATTTATTGACGTTATTTGAAACAAAACTATTGATGAAATCGACGGATATACTTTATTATTGACGTTATTTGAAACAAAAACTATTGATGAAATCGACGGACTTTATTATTGACGTTATTTGAAACAAAACTATTGATGAAATCGACGGATATACTTATTTATTGACGTTATTTGAAACAAAACTATTGATGAAATCGACGGATATACTTTATTTATTACGTTATTTGAAACAAAACTTGAAGAAATCGACGGATATACTTTATTTATTGACGTTATTTAAAACTATTGATGAAATCGACGGATATACTTTATTTATTGACGTTATTTGAAAACAAAACTATTGATGAAATCGACGGATATACTTTATTTATTGACGTTATTTGAAACAAAACTATTGATGAAATCGACGGAATACTTTATTTATTGACGTTATTTGAAACAAAACTATTGATGAAATCGACGATATACTTTATTTATTGACGTTATTGAACAAAACTATTGATTGAAATCGACGATATACTTTATTTATTGACGTTATTTGAACAAAACTATTGATGAAATCGACGGATATACTTTATTTATTATCGTTATTTGAAACAAAACTATTGATGAAATCGACGGATATACTTTATTTATTGACGTTATTTGAGACAAAACTATTGATGAAATCGACGGATATACTTTATTTATTGACGTTATTTGAAACAAAACTATTGATGAAATCGACGGATATACTTTATTTATTACGTTATTTGAAACAAAACTATTGATGAAATCGACGGATATACCTTATTTATTGACGTTATTTGAAACAAAACTATCGGCTAATATAAAACTGACATGCTTGTAACGCGTTCATATCATTCGGCAGAGCGGTTGGGTTTTGAGCGTTGAGAACTAAATTGTGCTCCAAATGTTGAAATTTAAACTGGGGAACAAACCAACATGGCTGCCCCCCCCATATCTCCCATTCAGTCATCTGTAGTTGCGAAATTTGGCCTTTGTATCTGTCTAATCTATGGGGCTTACCTTGCACGTCCGAGGGGCGCTCCCCTGCAACAAACTCCACGTTGCAACTGCTTATCGCGAGACCAATGGCGTCGCTCGTCGCTGTTCAGATGAAAGGGCTTTTTTATTTCTCGTTATCATCTTCGCCTTGTTACTCTTATCTACGTTCTGTGCCGTGTGTGTGTGTGTGTGTGTGTGTGTGTGTGTGTGTGTGTGTGTGTGTGTGTGTGGTGTGTGTATATATATATATATATATATAATATATTATATATATATATATTATATATATATATATATATATATGTTATATATTAATATATATATTATAATTATATATATGTATATGTATGTATAATATATATTATATATATATATATATATATATATATATATATATATATATATATATATATATATATATATATATATATATATATATATATATATATATATATATATATATATATATATATATATATATATATATATTTATTTATATATAAAAAGTAAATTCAGGATAGAGAGACGTACGTCCAGTTGGTTGCTCGATGGAACAATATCTCGAACGTGGATCTCCCTGAGCAATATTTCAAAAGATTTTAATTCACTCTTTGATTTTTTAATAAGGGAACAACTACTTAGTAACTGTAATTCTGATATGAGAATTTTTGAAGGAACGTGAGTTTGTAACTGCAGTAGAGATGGCAGAGTCGGCTGACCGATTTCGGAGCGCACACTTGTACCGCGGTAAGAGAACTAATCAGACTCCAATCTTCAAAGCGACCCAGTCAGTTAAGGAAGGTAATTCTGAGATGACATGTCATGGATGTGGAAAGGTCGGTCACATTAGACCTAACTGCCCCGACAATCCGAGAAATTATAAGAGTAAAAGTAGTTCAGTTAAAGTTAATTTTGTCTTTGAAACTGAGCTGACTCCAAAGAATTGTATGCTTGATCCCAATGGCTATATATTTGATAAACCTGCGGAGGTGATGCTAGATTCTGGATGCTCATCCATTATTGTTAAGGAGTCGTTAGTTCCCTCCAAATATAAGCTAGGTAAATTTGTGAAAGTGTACGACTATTTAGGCATTCCTAATTATTTCCCGCAAGTTAGATGTCTTATTAAAAGTAAATTTTATACTGGTTGGACAAAAGCAATAGCAGCTCCTATAAAATTTGCCGATGTTTTAATTGGCCTTATTCCAGGTGTGAAATTGCCAACTGAACCCTATCCTCCTGATGATCCAAGCCTTCCTGTACCTGATAAAGCTGACCTTCCACCCTCAATCCTTCCTAACCATCTTGATGCTAAGGACCCAAGCAGTCTGATTCATCCTGAGACTTCCTCTCCTATCCTCACCCCCTTTATTGACAACCAGGTATGTACAGCAAGCTCTGACGTAAAGAAAACGGAGGCGCGTTTACCTGTAGTTTCAATGGCGGTTCAAACTCGCGCAAGTAGGAAAAGGAGTGAAGAAATTAAGTCACTTTCTTACCCCGTTATGGAAGAGTTAGATTTGAGTAAAGATTCATTTCTTAAGGCGCAGTATAAGAGTGCCTTAACCTCTATTTTATAGTGTAGTTGAATTATAGGTGGCGTCAGTGATACACTGATTGGCTTCAGTCTTTATTGAAGAGAACACACGATATGAAAACTACGGCGTGGAACTCTCCCGGCCGGGAGGGACCAAAAGCGGGCAGCTCAGGTCACAGGGAGGTCGCTGAAGGTGTGAGTGAGAAGGCCCCGCGCCCTGCTTGGGCGGGTGACCGTCAGAGAGTGAGTGAGTGAGAATGAGTCAGCTTGATGTCCTTATATACCCCTTGGCGGACGGCGTGGGCCTCTATATTTAGAAGAGCGTGGTTTGGGCGATAGCGTGGGCAGGCAGCAAGCGTGGGCAAGCCCCACACCACGTGGTAGAGACTGGTTCAATAGAAAAAGTGAAATCTAGGTCAGTTAAGTATGAGCGAATTAATGGCCTAATCTATAGGGTTTGCCTCCATAGCAAGGACGAACATGAACTTAATAACATGCAGTTAGTTATCCCTGCAGTATATTGGGACAAAGTTCTTCAGCTTGCCCAAAAGGTCATGGGGTACACGAACATGATCTATATGTGCTTCTATACCTTATATACATACTTTTACATCGCCCTCTAATTGTATTTCGTCTTTCCACGGGACTCTGAGTGTGAACATTGGCGCCGTGGCCCCGTAGAGTTAAACGCCAATATTCCGCAGATGCAAAGAAAATCTGTCCTCTTGCGGCGCCGCCCGGCCGCGCTGAGAAAAGGACGCGTTTCATATCGTCTGATTAGAGAACGGTTATTTTTCGACCAGTATTATACGTTGTATAACCCCATTAGAGCAACAACAATAGGTAAATAATAGATGATTATATTATATACAAGTATTCCGTACTGATTTGTCGTAAAATAATGAAAAGGAAAAAAAGATCGCGATTATTAGGTTCCTTCACATTTTTATGTATAACACACGTATTTTCAGTCCGATTTAAATGTATTATGGCTCATTTTGTAGCTGAATAATAGATCTATTGAATAAGGATTTGTAATATTTTCATGTGCTTCATATAATAGTGACATATATGAAACGTATACATGTTGACAAATGTAGAAAAGGTATGAATGAGACTGGATATCTTCACAATACAAGAGATGTATTTGACCGGTTTCGATTATGTATTCATCAGACATACATACAGCTTCCATGACCTTCCTTTTATGTTTACTCAATCCTTCATGGATTACTTCGGCTTCCTTCCAGTTCGGTAGATGTCCAGCTTCATCTACATGAACTACCATGGCATTGGAAGTCCTGTGGTGACGGACGTCGGCTCGATGTTCGATGATCCTGGTGTTGAAGCCTCGTCCCGTTTCACCAAAATAGGCCTTATCGCAACCGCTGCAGGGTATGCGATATACTGCACTGTTGGGGTTGCTTTTCAACTGCTTCTTGTCTCGTATCATATCATGTATCTTTTCTGCTGGCGATTTTCACTGTTTTTTCCAAAGTATTTGCTGATCGCCTGGGAAACGTTACATGGAGGCAGTATGAGGAAGTCAGAGGATGTCACTGGGGTTGATCTTGCAAGTATGTTTCTCGCCTTCTTCTTGAGGTTTAGCAGACCTTTTGGGTACTTATGTTGCATAAAAGAATTAATTACATATGAAACCTCAGTCTCAAGAAACTCAGGGCTGCAGATCCTCAGTGCCCGGAGAAAGAAGCCAATTACAACCCCAGATTTTGTTTTACTGCTGTGGGCGGAGTAGTAATGGATATAATCGTCTTTATTCGTAGTCTTTCTATATACAGAGAAACGTAGGCCGTCGTCATCCCGATGGATCAGAGTGTCCAGGAAGGTAACTTCTGATCCACTTCCTCTCCACGGTGAACTGGATTTCTCCGTGGACGGAGTTCAGCCCCGTCAGCATTACGGTGTAAAACACGACCTTCTGGGGACGATGACGAGGACATCATCTACGTAACGAAGCCACGTCGGATGCCTGCAGTTATATCCTTGTAGGGTTCCC